CCCCCCCCCCCCCCCCCCCCCCACCCTCCCGCCAACAGAAAGCTCCTCAAGCTAAGAAGGAGTCAGGTGTTTCCATTAGAAAGCTTAGTTAAGAGTAAATCAATACCAAGACCACACCATCGTCCTGGTATCGAACTAGTCGAATGGTAGCAAATCTTCCACTGATCCACAACGGGGCGAATGCTTGTGGTGGTGACGACCTGGGGCAGAGTTTGGCTAGGTCGACCTCGGCACTCCAGGTAACCACAATGGCCAAACCATCAAAACTCCGAGAAAGTGGAGATGAGATTGTGTTGGTAACCCCACAACCAATGAAGACGGGTTATCCAAGTAACCACCTATGTTCATGAATGAGAAAGTGGTACCTACCTCCCCAGTACGTGGAGTCGGCAAGCGATGAAGCTTAAACGAGTTGACCGAGTAGCGATGTGTTGTTTCGTTTGCAAGATTTGACGGCAAATTAATGATCTTGATAGCATCATAAGGACATTTTTTCACGCAAATACCACATCCAATACACAGAACTTCCGATATTTCAGCAATGGTTGACGATGCCTCGACAACTATACATTGCTTTCCTGGAAAATTCATGTATGTCAAAAATACAAGCCACATATCATCCTGCGCATATATAAACATAAATATATATATGTATATATACACACATATATAGCACAGTGGTCGGAGGCGCCCAGTAATAAGCACGGGATCGATCCCCGCGGCCCAGGGTCACCAAGCGCTCCATCTCTCCGTGGTCGGAAAACTGGTACCAGACTTATCTGGGAGAAGAGTAGCACTGGCTCGATACATCGGTAGGCCACCGCGAGTCATTGTAAAGGCCAGATATGCATTCAACCACCCTTTACAATGCCTAACGAAGTCGAATGCATGGCGCATCCTTCGGGGATTGGTCAACGCCGAAAGCTTTATCCTTCATCCTTTTTATACACGTGTTTATTTATACTTGAGTCCACATATATGTATTATAAAGTGCATTCAAGCCATATTGATTAGTGCTGTAAAAGGTGAAGCTTAAGAAAGTTTTCGGCGTCGGTTAATGTCTGAGGGATATGTCATACATTCGACTTCACTGAGCATCGTTAATGATGACCGAATGCAAATCTGGAGCGTATAGTGGCTTGCGGTGGATGGCCACCCGATGTTTCGAATCAGTGGTAGTCCCCTCCCAGACCAGTCTGATATCAGTTTACCAACCCTGTAGGTATGGAAGGCTTTGTGAACTCATGGAGCTGTGTCGAACCAACAGCCGACCTACCGACCTATAGTAGCATGCCACCTCTAACCAGTAGGATACACGTCCCTTCGAGTAATGTAACGAAAAATAATCGCTATAAAAAGTGCCGTTCTTCATATAAACGAGCAATCACGTTTGCAGAATAAGAAATCAAAACAGATGGATCCAAAGACCCTTATCTATAACTTCTATAATGGTGAGATATTTGCAAAACTCCGGACCGCAGGTGTCCGCGGTGGGGAACGAACGCGTTATTGTCCTTTCCGGGAGTAACACGTTCACCACCACACCATGCGGGCCCTTCGTTTCGCCTGTCTCTCAGCTATCTATCTATAGTTTATGAGCTTACCCATTTTCACTACAGGACACGACCGCTTACAAAGTAAACCGCAGTTCTTCGGTTTACAACGATCCTTCTCGACTATGGCAATTCGCAATGGCTTATCGGACTCCTTTGATTTTTGAAGTGGTCCTTTTCTACTCATAGTTACTTCCAAGAAATGAGAGCTAGCAAAAACAAGTACAGCTACTCCTGAGCAAACCTGAAACTGAAGAAAAAACACTTTAAGCAAGATGAAGGTAGTTCCCAATTAGAACGGAAAACCGTCGGAATGGTGCAAACTTTCGCACTAAAGGAGAGCATTTTTCAAGGCTCCCTCCCTCCTTAGACCCCCAAGACTTTTAAGACTTAAGACTTTTGCTAGTGAAAATGCCGTCATGGAAAAGAACTTAAAGGACTTCAAGGCATGGTTTAGAATCAAAGAAAGTAAAATAAAGCATCGAAGGAGTTCCCTTATGTTTACTGGGAAGAAAGAGGAACGTTGGGGAAACAAAGACCACAAAATTATATCGCATGATGGTACAAGAAGATGTGCAGGATCGAAAAAAACTTATACATTATACTTTTAGGTTATAAACTGTAAGGAACGATCACAAAAAAACCAGGACTGTGATGGAAAAAAGACTAAAAATTAGGATGAAATCGGGAAAAAAGCGGATGTCAGACTTTACGCCAACATGTGTCTGTTGTACGAGTGCTCGAATTAGAGCGCGATATTCTTTACCTAGTCCCGTACTTCAATCAGTTATGTCGAGGGACAGGGACACATTAATTGTTGAATTACAACTATCCATAGGGGAATTTTGGAAATAACCTATTTGTTATCTAGCAGAGAGCGTAGTAATGCTTCAAAAACCGTCTTTTCTTTAGCTTCAGTATAACTAATCGATACATATCCTTTCAATGATGAGATAATAAACCTTGATTGACTAACGTCTCGACGTCTTCCTCTTCCTCAATACTGGTGATCTGAGTCGATAGTCCACAGTCCTTCGTCTTCCCTAAACTGAAATCGAGCTGATGAAGGTCGAATGAAGCTGAAGCTCTTGGCGTTGATCAATCTGTGAAGAATGCGCTATGCATTAGACTTTATTAAGCACCGTTAGAGGTAAAAGAGTGCATATGTGACCTATACAATCGCGAAGGCCTACCGATGTGTCTAGTCGGTGCTACTATCCTACCAGACAAGTGTGGTACCAATTTACCGACCTCGGAGGGTTGGAAGGCTTAGTGACCTTTGGGCACGGGGTCGAACACATGTGCATAGTGCCCCTAATCACTGCTCTACATGTGCTCCTTCCACAAACGGATTTGATAAGCTAAAAAAATAATTGCACGATGTCTGAGATATTTGAAAAACTCGGATCCCGTGTAAGGACCAGAAATAGTAGGCAGTAAATAAAAAGTTATACATTGTGACAAAAGATGCTCGTTTAGGACTAGATGGAAATCTGAGCACCGTCAAGATTTGTAGGTGATGTCTCGTTGGGCGATTCGCATTGGCTGCCCTTCATGAGAATAAAAAGTTGGAAATGAAGAAAATACTTCTGCGGATTTCGCCTTCCTCAAAGCCTGGGAAGGTCAGAGGTGTTGGGAAGGTGAAATCCGCCGAAATGTCAGGTTGTGTGTAAATAAAGAAACAAAATAACTTCTCGTGTTTACTAAACAAGGACATGAAGAAGTGTTCGATCAATTCCGAACTTAGTAGGAAGCCGATCGTGGAAGTTACTGAGAAGATGTATCGATTTATAACCCACTTCCCCTCTCCCATATATAGAAGTGTGGATCACTATGATATATTTGAATTTACAAGCACATATGTGGTGTTAGTGCGAGTTTTTTCTCTAGTGCTTGATGATTTATAGCTACAATTACCGATTGAATGGATAAAACTGTGCTCCCAGGAAGAATTTTGGTAGATTAAACAAAATTAGAATACGGCAGCGACAATTCGCAGCGTTCAAAATGGGGGTGTTGTGTCAGGATCACGTGCATGCTTGTGACGAAAACTTTCAGTGGCTAAATAAAATATCTAATCGGTATGCTCTTTAGCGAAAAAAGTTTGCTTCTTTTTCCTATTCCTTAGTGTGACGATTTATATGCAATGGTTTAACGTATTTAAAATAATGGTGATTCTTCAAATTGTACCGAGTTTTCAAATTTTTTTTTCAAAGCGCAATAGTTAGAGGTATCCTGGAGTAGATACGATATCTTTGGTTCGATTCCGCTCCCAGGGCTCACAAAAACTTCCATCCTTCAGAGTTAGCATATTGGAAGCAGCCTTGTATGGGAGGGTGATAGTACTAACGTGATACATCGGTAGACCGCCGCGAGTCATTGTGATTAGGCTACATATTCAATCATTTCTAACAATGCTTAACAAAGCCGAATTCATCGCTTATCCCTTGACGATTGATCAACACCGAACACGTTATCCCTGCTTTCTTTTGTGGGTACACGAATGGAATCTATTGCAAAGAATCGTGCGTGATCCAGCACAGCTTCCACCTGATTGCTAAGTTGCTAATGAAGTAAAGTTTCTTAATTATGAATCCAAAGATGGTCGTGCTCGGACTTTCCTGAGGCATCACCACAAGATTTTACTGAAATCTGTGGATTGGAAGAGATCTTCTACCTTCTATCTAATGTACTGCCAGGATGTTAAGCATTTTTGCTCTCAGCTGGATGTGTCGATGGAGATGTTGAAGTCCTTCTCAGTTTGAGACATTCTGCTGGTGGAACGAATACCCGCTGAATAACACAGTTTCATAACTAGAAACAACTTTCAGCAACAGGCAGATAGCAAACCGCTCAGCTATTAATACAAATATACATAAGTGTAAATGGAATAGTATACTGACTTCCATGGTCCATATTGTCAGTCTGGCCACGGTATTGCACTTACAGCAATTTCTTGAAAACATGGGCCTAATTCTAGTAGCAAGCGCGGGTTCTCGAGCATGGTCATGCCCCTCAAGCATGGTAATCATAGATTTTCCCAAAGACTCGATGAAGAATCGAATCGACCATCTTTCAACGGCATTCATAAATAAGACAACAATCCTCAAACAGCAGACGAACTCTAGACTTTTGTAGATCATTTAGGAAACGAATAGAACACAAGATGTGCGCGCACCCGCACAGTAGATTTGGAGATAGGTCAAGTAAACAGTGCAAAAAAATTCTCAAAACTCAGAAACTGAGCAGAGAAGGAGAATTCCAGGTGAGAGTCCTGCTGAATGTGAGGTAGTGACAAAAGAAAACCAGCGAGACAGCCACAACTGCTTTAATGGTAGCGCCTTTCTACGCTAGGCTAGCAGTAAGACGGTCTCTGGGTCCCTTAAGGGAATACAGTCCAGTGAGAAGGTTTGCTGTGTGAGGAAAAGAAATGCATCTTGCTTGTGATCGGCTCGAGATATCTGAAAATTAAGGGAACAACAGGGTAAGGTGACCATGAGTAGCTCACAAAGTAAAGATTCGTGGGCACAAGCTTACCCTTGGTTGAGTTTTGAGATAAAAACACCAAGCAAGTTAGCCAGAAAAACTCAGTTAAGTGGAATATGCCCTATCTTTAGCTCCAATAAAGACCCAACAATACCACTTCAGCCATAACGAAGCCGTAAACCAGTGAAAAAAACGAAGAAACGGGCCAAAACATCGGTATCAAAGGTTGAGGTGGAACACAGTTAATAGATTATTTATATATTGTGATTAAAGAACCATTTCGTATTCACAGTTATTATGGCAATGGCCTGCTGTATTTTGTGAAGAGCGTCCGAATCACCTGTGTCATCTGTAGTCTCGTTGATCGGCGAGTTACTCGAGCGGGCGCCAGTAAATCTTCCATTTTTCCCCTCGCGTGCAAGAGTGGCCCAGTGGGTTCTGCTCGCTCTAGGAACCCGCTGAGCATTATTTCTTTTTCCTAGTCCTTTCTTGAAGAACTCTGACCATCAGGTCGTGGTCTTCCTGCAGTGCGTCTGACAGCCCGAGGAATCCAGTCACTAACGGCTCTTGGCCGTCGGTTGTTGTTTATACGCATTACGTGTCCGGCCCACCTTATTTTCGACTGTTTGGCGTACAGAACGGCATCTCTGATTTTTGATCGTTGACGCAGATCGGGGCTTCAGATCTATTCCGTCATTTTTGTGAAACGGAATACTCCTAGCATCGTCCTTTCGACTACACGCTCAATAACGCTGAGTGATCTTTCATTCCGCTTACGCAGTGATTAGGTTTCTGACGCATACGTTAGGGCAGGAAGTGCTGCTAAGTCTAAAAGTTGGGCCCGGAGTCGGATGTTCTTTGTTTTTGGGCAATAGTTGCCGATATTGTGAAAATCACCCTTCTTGAACAATAGCACGGTCCTGTTGGTCTTCCATTGAGTAGGGACCTTATATTCAGATAGGTAACGTGTGAACAGCCGAGCGAGTATGTCTACGAGGACTGGCGGTAGTTACTTCAGGTGTTCTGTTCTTATCCTGTCCGGACCTGGTGCAGTTCGATTTTTCACCAACGAAATCGCATGTCGGATTTTGGAAGGGAGAACCAGTGGTACAACATATCCATCCTCCTTTATTTCATACGAGGGAAACAGGACGTGGCTATTGAAGAGATCTCAGTAGTATTCGCGAATGATTTTCTTCATCGCCTTTCTACTGATCCGTCAGGGCTTCGAAGTGCAATCATCTTGGTTTTGTAGTTCGCGAAGCTTTGATGGGCTTTGCGAATGCTTTTCCCAGCCTCTACAGCTTCGAGCATTATTGTTGCTCTTCTCTCCTTACGATCTTCTTTTATCTCCTGTCTGAACTGTTTTTCAAGTTCGTACGTTAGTTCGCGGTTGCCTGTAGCTCGTGCGATTCCATGCTGGCGTATAAGCTCGAGTGTTTCTGGGGAGAAACGTCTCTTGGTGACTTAAGAGCTCTCAGCTTTCATAGCGCTAGCGTGAAGATGTTGAATGAGCCGATCGTATTCTTCGTCGATGTTATGGACAACGGCATCTTCCCAACAGTCGAGTAGCAAATTGAATAAGTCCCAGTTTATGGTGGTTTCGGGACCTTGTTTTTTGAATCTAGCTGCTTTTTCTCCTTTGTGCGAGAAATGAAGTCTTGCTCAAAGAAGGCGGTGATCTGATCCCGTGTAGAATTTTGGTACTACAGCGACATGGGTAAGGCAAAGTCTTCGATTTCCTATAATGTGGTCTATCTCGTTATGATACTCTCCAATGGGGGACTCCCACGCCCAGCGTTGAGAGTACGGCTTCTGAAATTGCGAGTTACCATGGATGGTCTTGGTCGTTATGATAAACTCAGAGAGCCACCCACTTTGTTCGTTCCATTCTAATCCCTGGGTCCTAATGTAACGTTCTTGAGACGTTCTTCTTGGTCCAGTCTTAGTGTTAAAATCTCCAATTATGATCTTGAAGAATGTGTGGTATTCCCTATAGAACTTTTCCAAGTCCATATAGAACGCTTCGACTTCCTTTTCGTCATAGCTTGACGTCGGCGCGTAAACGACGAAGATTGTCAAAGCTGGCTTTAATCCACATCTTTTTAATCGTAAACGTCCGTTTCGGGTTGTAAACTGTTCGAATGAATCTATGTTCATGGACAAACTCGTGTTGAGGAGAACGCCGACGCCGCCGACTCCTCTACTGTCGCATGTTTCGAGGAACAGTTCTTCTCTAGTGTCATAGACGGCGTTGAATGGGTGGCGCCGTCTCGTCTCAGCCAGGCCGATGACGGCGTGCCTTACTTTTTGCTTGCTGAGCAAGTCTTCTATCGAGGATTCGGATGCAAGTATACGCTCGTTGTTGCGTCCTCACTTCAGTTTTTTGCGATACAGGCAGCTTACATTGGCCCTGAGATTTTAGCAGCCTCTCCGTACTCGTCCTACTCAACGCTGCAAAATTGGGGACTCTTTCTGGTTCAGGGGAATGAGGCCCGTTTCTTTTATTGTTTTTAGCATTTTGATACCCACGTATAGCTTACTGGGCTCTGAACGTGGGTGCTGGGTATACTCACGAGTAGCTTGCCAGACTCTCCCAGAGTGGACATGGAGCTTATTTGTTGGATGCGTCTCCTAACCGCCTCAAATATACTTCCCTGTCACTTGATTGTAGGCTTTGCCCGAATTGACTCGTAGAATAGGATCCGCATAAGCAAGAACGCACCCACACACATATGTATGAAGACGCCTAGCAAATACAGAAAGTATGTGCCAAATCTGTGCAGCAGAAACAGGGAGTCCATCCTTGGATCCACCTGCGTATCAGGGAAATAAAGGTCGTTTTCGTCCGCGATTAACCCATCTATCCGCCACCTGGGGACATGTCATGTGACCTAGCAATTAACCGGCTCGAGATCCGTTATATGAGGGAGATCCGTGGTCTGTAGGTTTTATACCGTGCTACTAGTACTAATAGCACTATTACGGCTACTAAAATTTGAAGATCTGAAAAGCAAGTTAACGAACACGATTATCTAAAAAGCTGACGCTGCACTCTGTAAATCGTATCTTCATAATGTAGCCTGTCTGTGGAATAACAAAGATGCTTCAGCGATGGTCGTGGTGATGTCGGATGAGAATGACCAGCGCTGACGGAGATTAGCTCTTCAGTACCCACTTCTGGTCAACAGCCCAACAATTTTTGATAAATAAACAGAAATAGCTAAACATTGTCTTTCAAAGTGACCGTCAATTAACGTCTTTAGTAATAATGAATAAATTCCTGGATTGTTGAAGCTGTTGTACAAGTTTTATTCGGTTAACGCTTCGACGTCTCCGTCTTCCTGTAACCTGGAATTATTAGAGTCGATGGTCAATATTCGCTCGTCTTCTCGATGTGGTGCCTTCGTTGTTGCATAGGGTCAAATCTTCTTCGGTGGAGTATCGAACAAATGAGGCAGCTTCACCCGGCAGCGCTATAACAGGACGGTTGCTGTTGATATGACTAGCCGTTGATGTGTGTCAGATAAAATAGTGCAAATTTGCTATAGGATGGATTATTCGCTAAAAAACAAATTACTACCAACGAATAGTCTTCGAATCGAAAAAAGAATCAACAGTCGACCGATCAACAGCAACCGTCCTGTATAAAAGTGTTCTGCCGAGTGGTGGAGATATCGGCGTGAATAGTGCAGAGTGAAGACTTGGGTAAGTTAGTGAACAATTCTCAATCAGTTTGAAAATGCGTGAAGTTAAAGCGTCTTATTAAACACTGGCGTGGTGTTCGAAAGTGAAAGGATAACTTATAACAAAATGGAATATATGGGTAACAACATCATAGAGACTAAAGAAAGCACTTTTTAAGCTCAGCAGACAGACAAAGTAAAATTTTTGTTCTTGTCACTCGTCATCAGCAGCGTCCTCTTCTTCGAGTTTGAATTCTTCCACCTGTGTAACATCATGGCGACGTTTGCACCCTGATAATCGGAGAATTTTTTCGCTCAGAAGTCCTCCGTTATAGCCGATATCCCCCTAATCATCAATGAATCTAGTGGGTCCCAGCGAAGTCTCCATGCTTTCCTGTCGCCATTTTTTTGCACAGCCCTCTTGTTTGCCTTGTTGTTTTCAACGATAGGGAATATCCATCGGCAGCCACTGGGAGCTTTTTTCCTGAATCTTCCCACAAAATGTGTCAGCATTACGTAAATGAGCCTCTCCTTCCAAAATGAGTTGCTCACATTCCATGTGGCGGAAAGGCATTCATTTAAAGCAAAAAGGAAAAACGTATTTCAAAGACCGACTTTCGTCTGACCATAGCATGACTAATCGGCATGTATTTTCCAATTGGACGAGCTGTTATGTGATGACAAAAAATCATCAGGACAAAGTCGTCACTATTTTATTTGCTGCCTATTCCTTTTAATGGCACGGTATCATGCGAAGTATAACCATGAGGAACAAACATTCATAAAAAGCAAATAAGCAATAAAGTAAAATAAATAAGAAAGTGACGATAGTGTGATTTGTACCATAGCTTCAGCTTAACTAGGATCAATGACGATTTGTCATCCCTAGATCGATCCCGATGATGGGTGAATGCTGATAGCACCTATAGGTCAATAACACTGTTGAGAGAAAGGCGAAACGAAGGAGCGACATGGTGTGGCGGTGAGCGCGCTAGCCTACGGAAAGGGTGACAGCATGTTTGGTACCTCACCGCAGCCACCAGGGGTCCGGAGATTTTGAAGATATCTCAGTATCACTACGATTATTAGCATATATTATTATGAGAATACTTTATCGTTATGAAGAACCGTCCGGTACGCAAGTCACCGCCAAGTATAGTTACTTCGTTCGAGTGGTACTCCATTCAGGATGATTCGGCTCGACGAGCGACAGCAAAGACCCACAAGGCGAGGAGGACCGACTGTGGGCCACTGACTCGGATGAGTCCGGCTCTGAACAAAGCGAAAGCCCACAACTTTGGTCAAATGAGGTTTTTTATCAACCTAATGTTAACTTGTCGATGAAAAACATGTCGTCTGAAATATAAACTGTTTTTTATTTTGCTGACATTGCATAGTCGAGGAAATACGTGGTGGAAAAATTCTCGCTTCCCAGGTGGTCATTAAGTTTTCTACAAAACGTATATAATGGAATCAAGAATATTTGTCAACGGTTCAATGTGAAACCATTTTTATGAAAAAACGTTCAAGAACCATTGATATCACATTGGTATCACATTGGTCGAATTAGTCTTCGTTATCGTTCCAGGGCCAGTTCATGCAGCTTTTGCTGTTGTATGATGCGCTTCAGCTTCCTCCGTAGTTACAACTTCACCAGCCGCCGTTGCGTCCTCTGCAGCAGGAGCTTTGGCACTCCCTAGATCCTTTGTGTTTAGGATTGTCTCCCCAACCGTGCTGACTTCGTCGTCGCTGCTGATTACCACGGCACAAACAACCAGCAATAACGCGAAAGGAACTACGAGTCTCATCTAAAAAGTTTTGGGATCACTCTAATAACAGTGAGGAAATTCAGATAACGCACAAAAGCGACTAGAGACAGCAGATTAATTCCACGTAAGCGATGAATTTAAGACAGTGCTACTTTTAGTTTTGAAAATTGTGATCACTTTCTCTAAATCTTCAATGAAATCGCGAATTGTTCGTTGTCATCGCTACTGCCGTCGTCATTGTCGCGTTTGGTTGCTTCTCGATATATATATCGCGCTGGTGCCTGGTGAAAATGATCGTATAGCTAATTTAGTCATATCGGCACCACAAGACACAAGGAAAATTTCTGATAGAAGGATGGAGGATAAAGCGTTCGGCACTGATCAAGTCTGGGAAACACACTATGCATCCAACATCGCCGACCGTAGCTGGAAGTGACTTGGATGAATATCTGGCCCGTACAATTGCGGCGGCCTACCAATGTTCGAAGTCAGGACTGTTGTCGTGCCAGATAAATTTGCTACTAATTTCCCAATCCAGAAAGGATAGAAGGTTTGGTGTTCCCGGGCGCGGCCACGTATGTTCTGCAAAGCATCTCTAACCATTGCTGTACAGTTGCCCGAACTGAGAGTTATCGTATATTGTTGATGAGGTCAATCTTAAGACTGAAAGCTTTCTGAAATTGAGGCTGTCCAAAAGAAACGTAGATCGAAGGAACGTTCTATGGCTGAGAGAGCAGTGTTATATAGCGGAGCGGATTGGTGGGCGGAGAAGCTAATTCAAAATTCAGTGAGACCAAACATCGAATCGTTGCCAGCATTGTAGAACAGAATCATTAAAATAGGAAGGAAAACAATTTTCGCGGTCCAGTATCCTAGGACATTCAGAAGAAATGAAAAGGAGAAAATGGATGACATAGATAGTCGAGCACTGCAAAAGTGGAATGAAGATGAGTTGACCAGTTCGGAAGAAT